ATAGGGGCGTTAAACCTATACCATTTCACCATTCTTTGATATCTGAGTTTCTGCAGCATGAGCACTCAGGAGTATGTTTATCACGTCGGTGGTACAGCCATATTTCCAAGCTGATGTGCTTAGATCGATGAGTAAATTGAGCAGCACCCATGGTCATCCGCTGATACGACGGTCAACTATGATGCTCTAACCTTCGATCTCCGAGAAGTCTCCAGTTAATGAACTCCCATGAATATTTAACGAGTCTTGTGAAAAGCCCGGCAAATCCAGACGTGGTATTTGTATTCACGACATCTCCGGAGGATGGCATGTCAGGGGTTTGTAAAGACCGTAGGATAATCCCTGGGAGAGAGAGGAGGGAGTGGGAGAGAGAGTGAGAAAGACAGAGAAAGAAAGAAAGAGAGAGAGAGAGAAAGAAAGAGAGAGAATGAGAGAGAGAGAAAGGGAAAGAGAGAGAGAGGGAGGGGGAGAGAGGAAGTGAGCGAGTGAGAGTAAGGGGGAGACAGAGAGAGGGGGGGAGAGAAAGAAAGAGAGAGATAGATAGAGAGAGGGAGAGAGAGAGAAACAGAGAGAAAAGGGGAGAGAGAGTGAGAAAAGAGATAGCAATGGGGTGGGGGCGACAGGGAGGAAAGAAGACGTAGAAGAAGAGTGAGAATAAATATATACAAAAAAGAGAGGGATGAGAGAGAGAAAGAAAGAGAGAGAGAGGGAGAGAGAGAGAGAGAGAGAGAGAGAGAGAGAGAGAGAGAGAGAGAGAGAGAGAGAGAGAGAGAGGGGGAGGAGAGAGGGAGGAGAGAGACGTAAACTGAAAGCACCCATCGCACATTTTCACGAAAAACAGGAAGTCGATACACTATCAATTTGTCAAATATCTATGCCAGCACGGCACTGAGGACAAACCTAGCCTATAGCAATGATGATACATAACAAGATGGTCCACTCAGCCAAAAAAGTGTCCGCCGGAAGTCCGCGCAATGGCTCAGATGGCGCTGCAGTCTTTGTTTTGAAGCTCTATTTCGTTTCTCCAGAAGAAAAATAGGAATAGCACTTCCTTGCGTGCGCAGATCGACTGCTGTTCATCAGCTGTTCGGGTTCGTTCAGTGCGGAGTTTTAGGGTTTTAATTTTTTTTTAATGACCTCTTGCCTCTCATTCTGAAGTCAAATTAATCGAAGAAAACAGTCACCTATTCCTCCGGAAGAGGTTTTTTTGTTGTCAGCCTAACCCTGTTAAAGAGGCGTTCTTCCGAAATTTGAATTCATATTTATTCAAAAACTTGTTAGTTTCACTTTAATTTTTTTCACATAAGTAGGGTAACTCTGTTCGCAAAGGGTGCGCTTTTACGAAGAGGGCGCCACCGAATTTTGAGGACACTTTTTTAATTGGCTCAAAGAGAGGAGTGGACCATCTTGTTATGATGATCTTTGCCTATAGTGCTGGGCGGCTACATTCCCGATTATTAAAAGCTAGGAATCGTAAGAATCGACTCCGAACCCAATTATTTAATTTCTAATAATGTGATTTCTTCCAGTTGTTATCTGGTTGGCTCCCAACATCTTCGGGATTTAGGATAACCCTGGTTTCGGAGCAGTACGAAGCATCAACTTTTATTTTTCAAAAATAAATTCTTTAAAAAAAAGATTTAATGATTAAAGTAACTGATAACCATTGGTTTACGTAAAAAGGAGTTGGAACTTTTCTTCTGTAGCATTCATCATGGGAATCGGTTCTGGACTCGATTATTTGCCCAGCTCTACTAGCCTAGGCCCTATAGTGTGGTAAAAATTCATGGCGTAACTAGTTGTCAAATATCTCCTCAACTATTGAACATAGATTCTCCAACGTTTGCACAATGACGTAGATCTATATCAATTTGTCTTAACGGATGAATTTGTTTTCAAACACCAGTACACTGTATTCTAGAAATTTCCTTAATAAATACTAATTAAAAATCCAAGTCTAAGCAAGCGGGAAGTGCTGTGAACAATTCCATTTTACGCGTGGCGGACATTTATAGTATTTTGTATAAATTAATGAAGAAAAGATTTTTTAAAATCTAGTCTCGTTTGTTGTGGAAAAATATGATTAAGTTAAGACAAATTGATACAAACTGCTGTGCAAAGTATGGATGACGTTGATTCGCCCGTTTAAGAGCGTTTAAGAAATATTTGAAGATAAGTTGCGCCACGAATTTTTGACCGCACTTTGGGGATCGGCTGCTGTTAGGTAATCGGCCCGTTGTGAGGTAATCGGCCTGCTAGGTAATCGTCGACAAACCCGGATTCCTCCTACATTATACAGCCACCTGCCTGGTGAGTCAAAATAGAACCAAACTTTCCCAATTTTTGCAACAGCCGACGACAACAACGATATTGACAGATGTAGAAACTATTCACCCCCCACCAACGCCCGCCCCCACCCCTCCAACCCCCCAAACCAAACCAGGAAATTGGCAAGGTGATACATGATACAAAGTACATATTAGTTATTTGTATACTAAAACATCAGTGGTGGTCGTTGTGGATGTGTGGGTGACGGTGTGGGG